GTGTGTGTGTTCAGTGGTGGTTTATGTTTCTGCTGGTTCTGACCCGGTGTTGTGTGTGTGTGTGTGTGTGTGTGTGTGTGTGTGTGTTCAGTGGTGGTTTATGTTTCTGCTGGTTCTGACCCGGTGTTGCGTGTGTGTGTGTGTTTAGTGGTGGTTTATGTTTCTGCTGGTTCTGACCCGGTGTTGCGTGTGTGTGTGTGTGTGTGTTCAGTGGTGGTTTATGTTTCTGCTGGTTCTGACCTGGTGTTGTGTGTGTGTGTGTGTGTGTGTGTGTGTGTGTGTGTGTGTGTGTGTGTGTGTGTGTGTGTGTGTGTGTGTGTGTGTGTGTGTGTGTGTGTGTGTGTGTTCAGTGGTGGTTTATGTTTCTGCTGGTTCTGACCCGGTGTTGTGTGTGTGTGTGTGTGTGTGTGTGTGTGTGTGTGTGTGTGTGTGTGTTCAGTGGTGGTTTATGTTTCTGCTGGTTCTGACCCGGTGTTGTGTGTGTGTGTGTGTGTGTGTGTGTGTGTGTGTGTGTGTGTGTGTTCAGTGGTGGTTTATGTTTCTGCTGGTTCTGACCCGGTGTTGTGTGTGTGTGTGTGTGTGTGTGTGTGTGTTCATGTTTATATTACATTGTGGGGACCAAATGACCCCACAAGTATAGTAAAACCTGAAATCACCTACATTGTGGGGCCAGCCAGCGGTCCCCATGAGGAAAACAGCGTATAAATCATACTAAGTAATGTTTTTTGAAAATGTAAAAATGCAGAAAGTTGTGTGTGATGGGGTTTAGGGATAGGGGCAGTGTAAGGGGACAGAATATACAGTTTGTACGGTATAAAAACCATTACGCCTATGGAGAGTCCCCACAAAGATGTGTGCGCCTGTTAGTGTGTGTGTGAGAGTGTGTGTGTGTGTGTGTGTGTGTGTGTGTGTGTGTGTGTGTGTGTTCAGTGGTGGTATGTTTCTGCTGGTTCTGACCCGGTATTGTGTGTGTGTGTGTGTGTGTGTGTGTGTGTGTGTGTGTGTGTTCAGAGGTGGTTTATGTTTCTGCTGATTCTGACCCGGTGTGTGTGTGTGTGTGTGTGTCTGAGTGAGTGTGTGTGTGTGTGTGTGTGTGTGTTCAGAGGTGGTTTATGTTTCTGCTGGTTCTGACCCGGTGTTGTGTGTGTGTGTGTGTGTGTGTGTGTGTGTGTGTGTGTGTGTGTGTGTGTGTGTGTGTGTGTGTGTGTGTGTGTGTGTGTGTGTGTGTGTGTGTGTGTGTGTGTGTTCAGAGGTGGTTTATGTTTCTGACCCGGTGTTGTGTGTGTGTGTGTGTGTTCAGTGGTGCCGAACAGCACGAAGCAAGCCGACGAGGAGAGGAAGTTCCGGGACTGTGCCGACCTCTACCAAGCCGGATTCCAGAAGAATGGAGTTTACACGATCAACATCAGCCCACAAGAGACCAAAAAGGTAGGAGTCCAGTCCAATTTCATATTAATACGAGACGTAATGGCTCTATTTAAGTAGTGTGTGTGTGTGTGTTCAGCTGTGTGTGTGTTCAGCTGTGTGTGTGTGTGTGTCTGTGTGCTGGATTTCACCCAGGTGTGATCTCAGATCTGCTCCTCGACCTCTCCTCTATCACTGTTTGGAGAAGTCACTAAGCTAATGGGGATCTCTGATGTTGTTATAAGGATATGCGGATCCACAAGGTCAAGATAAACGGTGTGTGTGTGTGTCTGAACAGGTGTTCTGCAACATGGAGTCTGCAGGCGGAGGCTGGACCGTCATCCAGAGACGTGAGGATGGAAGCGTGGACTTCCAGAGATCATGGAAAGAATATAAAATGGTGCGTAAAGCCAGAATCCTTCGCACTGACCTCTGGTTGACTCTTCCTGTAGCGATTCACTTGATCTTCATCTCTCTCTCTCTCTCTCTCTCTCTCTCTCTCTCTCTCTCTCTCTCTCTCTCTCTCTCTCTCTAAAGCAGTGCATGTGTGTGCCATATATCTTCTGTGTTCATCTGTCTCTGATTAACTCTCAGAAGAGTGAAGGATAGCCATGGCATGACGGGATTCTTCCTAGCCTTCAGAATGATAGTTTGCACGACACAGTCATTGTTATAGTCAGTCTTATTCTTTATTGGAAAAAATGAGCATTATAAAATCCAGAAGTCGTGGGTAAAGTGGGACGTCAGTGCTGGATTTGTTTTCTCGACACAGAAACCTAACTATTAGTTTACATCGGTTTACATACAAGTCTATCTCACTCACTCGTAGCTTCCATCCACAGACCTTTATGTGCGCTTGTTTTACTGCTTTTTAATTTTTATTTTAAATAGAAGTGAAAGTAATCACAACCTTAGCTGCGTTTTAATTTAATTATTTTTATTCTTTTATATATATATATATATATATATATATATATATATATATATATATATATATTTATAAAACGGTTAGTTCCAATCCTTGATTCTGATTGGTCAATAGCTGTGCTTTATTCACGATAAAACACGGCTATGACCGCTTCACCCAACGGTTCTATGTATCACTACACAACACCCCTAGCAACCACTCTTAGCAACTTAAACAGATGTTTCATCTCATTGATATTGTTCATTTAAAGCTAGAGCAGAGCATTGTGAGAGATCGAGTAAGCGAGTGTACCTGCATTTACAGTAGACGTAGCATTTTCCTTCAGGTCAGTCCTATATTCATAATAAAAAAATGCGTTTGAATGTCCGCTGCATATTTTGTCCTTTTAACAGTCATGGGGTTTTCCGTGCATAACGTTAGTCATCTGTCAGTTGCGTCTGTCTTCTCCGTGATCACAAGTTCGAGTCCTTTCAAAAGCCTTCTCTACAGACTCACTCACTCACTCACTCATAAAGACAGTCTTTGCCGCCATCTATTGGCGAAATAATATATGTAACTTCTGTTGCTGTTCACGTTCCGGGACTATTTTTTCCAGCGGAAGGCAGGCTTTTAGTGATTTTACTTCATGAAAGTTGCATAGATACATATTTTTCGGCTTTAATATTTTTATTGTGTGGCAACCGTTTTATAAAAGCAATAAGGTACTCGAGGCAAGTGCTGTATCGTGAATAAGTAACGGCTGAAGGGGTTGCAGGCACTCCGCTTCGCGTCGTGCCTAACAACGCCCTCCAGCCGTTACTTATTCACGATACAGCACAGCCTCTCGTACCTTATTGCTTACATATATATATTTTATTTTATTTATTTTCTTTTCTTTTATTTTAAATAAAAGTGAAAGTAATCACAACCTTAGCTGCGTTTTAATTTAATATTTTTTTCTTTTATATATATACATATATATATATTATTATTATTATTATTATTTAATTATAATTTAATTTAATTTAATTTTAAATGGAAGTGAAAATAATCACAACCTATGGCTGCATTTAAATTTTTATTTTATTTAAACAAATATTTTTTATTTATTTTTCATTTTATTTTATTATTTTCATTTGTTTTACTACTTTTATATTTTATTTTAAATAGAAGTGAAATTAATCACAACCTTAGCTGCATTATTTAATTTAATTTAAAAAAATTTTTTTTTTTTTTTTTGGTTTACTGCTTTTTTATTTTATTTTATTTTATTTTAAATAGAAGTGAAAGTAATCAACCTTAGCTGATAGCTGTATATATATATATAATGACGTTCAGTCGTTCCCCGGTAACGTTCAGTCGTTCCCCGGTAACGTTCAGTCGTTCCCCGGTAACGTTCAGTCGTTCCCCGGTAACGTTCAGTCGTTCCACTCCTCACTGCAGTTTTATGTGTAGTTTTGTATTCCCTGGTTTGGATCCAGTGAAGCGTTGGAATAACTTCAGCTCCATCAGCTCCATCAACGCTTATACTTCTCTTTCCCCAAACACTTTCCCAAAGGAAGATGGGAGAAACTCCTCATCCAAATGGAATCAGATATTTAAACTATGGACAGAATTGTTCCAGGTTTTAGTGTTAATCTGACTTTGGATTTTGGAAGGAAACATAGCAACGAGTGAGTTGTTGAGACACCGATGTTGCACAGAAAACACACACTCCCTGTTTTAGAGAATACAATATCAACGGTTCCTCCACATGACTCACTGATCCTGTCGGGAACGCTGCGGTTTCTGCGTGTCGAGGACGATCAGCTCAGACCCAGCAACACAGCCGTCGGGTTTCAGGAACTCTAGCAGGGAAAAGACCCTCATATGTGTCTCATATTCACTGCTCGTCCATCACCGCATCCCAGGAGCAGAACACACACTTGCTGGAGCAGAACACACACTTGCTGGAGCGCAGCACGAGTCAGATCATCCTCACTTTGCCTGTAGCGGCAGCGCATATTTAACCAGGGTTATAACCGTTAATTAAAACTATAAAACTATTAAAAACATTTCTGTTAATTGAAATAAAGCTGAAATGAAATGTAAACATTAAATAAAACTAAACAAAAATGTTGACTTGTTGAAGCAGTAAAATTATTAACTGGAAATAAATCAAACTAAGCCTAAAACTGAACAAATACTAACGAATCAACATATTGTTACAGTTATGTCTGTCTTGTGTCTGTATTCCTGTGTTTTCCCCCGTCATTGTGATTTGGTTTAGTCCTGTGTTAGTTTTCCCGCTCCTCGTTTGTGTTCAGTTCCTTCACCTGTGTCTAGTTAATTTGCCCCAGCTGTGTCTTGTTCCCATGATCCGTTCTCTGTGTATGTAAACCCCTCAGGTTACGTATGTAACCCTGGTTCCCTGAGAGGGAACGAGACGCTGCGTTTGAGACGCGGTGGGAACGCTCTGCGTGATTGCGTCATGAAGCACGTGTAAAATCAGTCCAATGGAAGCCCGATACGTCATGGGTGACGTCATAGACCAGGAAACTATAAATCACCCTTGAAAACAGACCGCGACAGCTTCTGAAAAAGTCTGAAGCAAGTCGATCAGGGCATGCAGGAAGTATGGCAGGCAAACGCAGCGTCTCGTTCCCTCTCAGGGAACCAGGGTTACATACGTAACCTGAGACGTTCCCTTTCAAGGGAACTTCGAGCTGCGTTTGAGACGCGGTGGGAACCCCATACCCACTACGCCATAGTGACAAATGCCCGTTCTGTGTGAAGTCCTTGCGCACACTAAGAAGCAAGCAACCTCGCCCCAGGAGTGGAGAGGTCAAGGTCATAAAACCTGACAAATGTATGTGGAGAGGACCAACCTGCCGCATTACAAATGTCAAGAAGGGAAACACCCGAAATTAAGGCCGTAGAGGCCGCCATACTCCTTGTAGAATGGGCCCGTACAGCCATAGGTGAAGGCTGACCGGCCGCTTCATAAGCCAATGATATAGCCTCAACTATCCATTTGCTCATAACCTGTTTAGATGCAGGGCACCCTCTTCTGAGTGACCCAAAACATACAAATAACTGCTCTGACTTACGCCACAGGGCAGCTCTGTGAACGTAGGCATCCAATGCCCAAACTGGACATAACAGGTTCAGTTGTTCCTGATCTGGGGTATTAAAAGGTGGAGGATAAAAGGCCTGCAACACTATTGGGCCCCTAACATTAACTGGGACCTTAGGAATATAACCCGGTCTAGGGTATAGAAATGCTTTCACCATACCAGGTGCAAATTCCAGACATGACGGAGCAACCGACAGGGCATGCAAATCTCCAATTATCTTGATAGATGAAATAGCAAGGAGAAATAAAGCTTTCAAAGTGAGGAATTTTTCTGAAACCTCTTCAATAGGCTCGAAGGGAGCCAGAGCCAGACCCTCAAGTACAATGGCTAAATCCCAAGCCGGTGCTCTAGAGTGCAGTGCAGGTCTCAACCTCAATGTACCACGGAGAAAACGAGTAATCAGAGGATCTCTCCCAAAAGAAGTACCCCCCAGAGGGGTATGATAGGCCGAAATAGCCGCCACATAAACTTTTAAGGTGGAAGGAGATAATCCAGCAGAGAAACGGTCTTGCAGAAAATCGAGAACTGAACCAACAGGGCAGTTAACAGGATCTAACTGACGCTCACCACACCAGGTGGAGAATAATTTCCATTTCAGTGCATACAGTCTTCTCGTGGAAGGAGCTCTGGAATGGAGAATGTCTCAACGACCTCAGTCGAGAGACTGGATTCTATGAGCCTGGCCCCCTCAGAGGCCAGGCCCACAGTTTCCACAACTCCGGTCGAGGGTGAAATATCGTGCCCCCTGCCTGGGACAGCAGGTCCCTCCTGAACGGAATCTCCATGGGAGAGCCGTCCAGAAGAGACAAAGTCCGAGAACCAAACTCGAGTCGGCCAGTATGGGGCTACTAGTAGCAGATGAGCCCCTTCCCGGCGAACCCTCTCCAGAACCTCCGGGAGCATAGATATCGGGGGAAATGCGTACAGGTGCAGCCTCGGCCACACCTGCACCATCGCATCCAGTCCGAGAAGAGCTTTCTGCGTGAGGGGGAACCATATAGAGCAATGCGTTGTACAAACGATGTGAAAGGTCGACTTGACTTTAGTTAGACCAAAGTTCTCCCTAAGAAGCTCCACCACCTCGGGGTGAAGTCTCCAATCCCCTGGGCCTCAGCCCCTGCCTCAACAGGATATCTGCTCTGATATACGAAACCATCAGTGTGTTGTCCGCCATTCGCCGAGCAACCACTCATGATCGCCCCCACTTGTGAGGGAAGCATCCGTCGATAGCAATATGCGTCGACAAGAAGCCCCCAACACTGGGCCTGGGCGAGGAACCAAGGTTCTTCCACATGACCGAAGCACGAAGGCAAAGCCGCGTGACCTTGATCATGCGAAAACGTATTTCCCCTCGGAGAAAACCCCTTGGTCCTGAGC